GGGGGTCTCAGGACAGTTAGATATAATGGAATATTATCAGCACATTTTTTAAGAGTTTCCACACGTCTGAGGACATGAGTCCAGACACACGAGGGGAAGTCGAAAAGTTCTGAGAGAAAAATAAAATAAAAATAAATAAATTAAATACATAAGCACTTGGTTCCAACAGAGAATTCTGGAGGAGTGAAGGATTCCACTTTCTTTTCAAATAATTTCATTTGGAAAAAAATAGAATTCAAAGATTTGATGTTTGCTGTGAAAGTGTTCAGTTTAAAGGTCAAGTGAACCTGATTTAAACACAGCTGAACAGATGAGAGAGAAGATGAGATCAAACGTGATTCAACTGTTAAAAATCACGTTTGTCATTTCTGTCTCAGAACTTTCTGACTCACCCTCGTACACACTGGAACACACAAGGTCACTGACACACGTCCACCAACCAGCACAGACGACAGGGTAGAGGTTTGAATCCTGTCAGATGTCACTGACGTCTGCCGTGTGTTTTAATGAACAAATATATAAATATATATATCTATATATTTAATTAGCCTACATGACAGGACGGTACCTACGGTGGCCGCGGCCGCCGCTGCTGCTGCTGCTGCTGCTGCCACCCTCAGCTCCGCCACTGACAATGAAGATTCTCCTTATTTTGAAAACGCACAGATTCTTCAGTAAAAGGTTTTTTCTTTTTTTTTTTTGTCTTTCCTCCAGATTTGAAAACGAAGCCGCTGCTGAGAAAGTGTCCCCTCAGCTCGGTGTCATCAGTCTCCTCCGGCCGGGACAGAGACGTCAAACCAAAAAACTGCAGAATTTAACCCGTCGCGGTCTGGGCTCGGTTTGAGACGGACGGACGTGCAGCCCAGAAATACATAAATACATACATAAATACATACATAAATAGACACCGTGTTCACGTAAACACATGAAGCCGTGTGGCCGTCACTTTACCTGAGGAGGCTGGAGGACGTGTGCAGCAGCGGGGACGTCAGGATGCCTTCACAGGAGGAAAATGAGCGCGGGTTCTGCTCCTCCGGTCCTCTCCGTGTGCCGTGCTCCTCAGCGCCCCCCCCTCCGCAGCTCCGCTCCACCACCGGGGCTCCACATTTAGGGGATGTTCGGAATATGTCGGGTTCTGCTCTCACTCGGAGACACTCGACTCCTGTCGGAAAAGTCCGGACACCACAGCTGACCCCCCCCCCGTCCTGACTC